GGAGAGATGGCTCAGCCTTTAACAGTCTCTATGTTCCTGTAGATGACCTAAGTTCATTTCCCAGAATTTACTTCCAGTGGCCCATAAATGCCTGTAATTCAAGGTCTAAAAGATGTGATACCCTATTCTGGCTTCTGCAGGCACCTGCACTCATATGTACATACTCATATATAGACATGTACACATACACATTATTAAAAATAAAATAAATCTTGAGAGGGAAAATGACTCCAGGAGATGCTAGGCTGTATCAAGTTGAGAGTTAAAAAAATGATCACAAGTATTCAGTTGTTGCATGAACTGTGTTTTACCTGCATGTCATGCAATTTCAGCATTCACTGAGCAGAAGATTGGAGCACAAGCAGTTTCCTGACTGTGTGTTTGAAGAAGTACTGGTGAGGAAACAAGGAGATGAGTCAGGGACCAGAAAAAAGATGAGAAAAAGCTACAAGAGAAATGTAGGCCCGGTCCCCACTGGAAACTCATGGGAAACAGTGCATAATGAACCTCAGTTGGTTTTATCCTGGAGGCAACGAAGCTGGGGCATTATCCACACTGCTCTCTCATTGGCTGGGGCTCTCTCATTACTCTTGGACAGTTGTGCTTGTCTCAGACAAGAGCCATTCACCTCAGTGTGGTTTGAGGGTATCCTCAAACTGAGAGTCTCACACCCTTGCAGTAGGACCTTGTATGTGTGTACAGAATGGCAACACCTCAGGAGTTGGGTAGGGCTCAGGCAACGTTTTTTCCCCCAATTTTAATACTGAAGGTAAGTGGTATGAGTCGGCTGTTCATTCTTCCTGACCTAGACTCGTGCTATGTAATGGATCAGGGCACATGGATAAGTGAGATTGTATCCCATCTAAGTAGAGCAGGCAATTTTATGTTGGTAAAATCAACAGACCAAAGACAGTCTACTCTTTGATTCTCACTAGACATCCCCTAGAGCAGCCTGGGCCACAATTATCCCAGAGGACTCTAGACTTGTGTTCTTTTTGTGTGTGTTCTGTAGGCATCAGCTGGCCTGGCAGGGTTCATCATGGTTTCTTTCCGTCCCTTTCACTTGAGCTGGCTTATTGCCTGATCTTTCCAACAAGGTAAAGTGGTTTTTTGTTTGTTTGTTTGTTTGTTTTTAATTACACCAAGAATGTTAATGAGCACACTGGCTGGATTTAAGAACTCTATGGACAGCCAGCCCTCTCCTCCCAGCAGCACAAGATGAGAAAACTCATGGCCTGACAGATTTTTCTAGAGAAGTAAGAGAATTCATTCAGTTGAGAGATAACTGACCTAGTTTACAATTAGTAAACTACATTCATCTTTGCACATTGAATCCCCAGGTCTCTGCTTCCCTTCCATGCTGAGGTTCCTTAAATGGGCCAATGGAGATCTTAAAAGTATAGGGTCCCCAGACTGGGAAAGCTGAAGACACTTTTCCATAAGTCTCATTCCGGGTTAACATCTACCAGTTGGCTTGAGACTTAGTCTAGTTCTGCTCCCGCTGAGGAAAGCAAATCTCAAGAACACCTTAGCTCTGGAAGAGAAGCTGAATGACTAGCACTTCCCATTGCCGAGTTTGTCACTTATTGCTTCTCTATCTGCCCTGTGTTGTTTACTGGGGCTTGAAGTGTCTCAGAGCCCACAAGCCTTGCATCATGTACTAATCTCACTTTTCCTTTTAAAATTGAAATCTTGTATTAAATTCATTTTGACAACTTCATAATTATACAAAATATATACTCTACAGAGTGCAATCTGATTACTGTCACCTTCACCCCGTCATCTTCCTCCCTGCAAGTCCCTTTCCTACAGTTAGTGATCCTCCTACTCCACATCTCCTCACTGTACCAGTCCTGGTCCCTTGTAGCCTCCCTCCAGTCTCTTTTCCTTTCATGTCCCATGTATCCTTTGATGATCCTCCAGTCTTTGTCATCACTGATTATCTCTCTCATGCTCTTTTCCAGTTTGGGGGGCTTCACTCACCCTTACATTATTTATATTAACTCATTCTTCCAGTATTACAGGCTAGTATGTGCCGTAAGGGAGGACATGAGTGCGTTTTTGTTGTTGTTTGTTTTTTATCTTTCTGAACTTGAGTCACCTTGATTAACATTATACTTTCCAGATGCATCCATTTGGCAGTAAAAATTTCATTTTCCTTTACAACTGAACACAGTGCTGTTGTGTACATGTATCACATTTTTATTATCTATTATCTCTGTGGCAGCTTCTTTTTCTATCTTCTTATTTTCTCCAAGGTCTGTCTTCTCTTTTTTTCACCATTTGTTTTTTTGGTTTCCTTTTGTTGTTGTTGTTAAAATTTAAAAGAGGTTGCTACTCTAACTGCTCTCACAGAGGACTGTGAGTTTGGTTCTCACCTCCCATGTCAGGCAGCTTACAACCACCTGCAACTCCAGCTTTAGTGAATATGATGCCCTTTTAAGGACACACACACACACACACACACACACACACACACACACACACACAAATAAAAATGAAAAAATTTGCTCTACTTCTTGTGATAAGTAGTCATACCCAAGGTCATAATTTCTCACTCTGCATTGTCTCCACCAATCCTGGGAGCCATTGTGGGTTATTTATAATTGTGTTTAATATCTACCCACTGGATGTCAGGAGCAGCCTCCTGCCTTTTATAACAGCCAAACATATTTGTAGACATTTCCAAATGTTCCTGGGGGAACACAATCATCTGTGTCTGCGAATCACCCTTCTAATATAACAAGTCTAGCTTTGGAAACCAAGACAGTAGTCCCCCAGCCACATAACCCTTTACACACTGAGCATAGTGCAAATGGTAGGTGTGCTTCCTATTTTATTTTTATTCCAGTTGTCCTTGCTAATGTTCTACAACTTACCATTTTTCTTTTCTTTTTTTCTTTTTCTTCCTTTCTTTCTTTCTTTCTTTCTTTCTTTCTTTCTTTCTTTCTTTCTTTCTTTTTTTTTGGTTTTTTGAGACAGGGTTTCTCTGTGTAGCTTTGGAGCCTATCCTGGCACTCGCTCTGGAGACCAGGCTGGCCTCAAACTCACAGAGATCTGCCTGCCTCTGCCTCCCGAGTGCTGGGATTAAAGGCGTGCACCACCATCGCCCGGCCCCCATTTTTCTTAATTAATAGAGACTATAGCCAGATGCAAACACAAACATCATCAAATCTTTGGAAAGTGCATTAAACATAGTCTAGCAAACCATTTTATTTATCTGCTTTGGAAACAACCTATAATGATCACCAGATTTTCTAGGTTTACACAGCAACTGAGACCTTTTGTTCATTTTAATACTTTCCCTTAGCCTTTACTCAGTGTTTTCTCTTTTAGCATAAAACAAATTTTCCCATGGTTTCTTCTTAAAAATTCTGTGCCAGTTTTTGGTGGCTTTAAAATTTATTTATTCAACTAGCTTTAAAAATATTTTTATTAATTTTTGCAGAATTTAATAAATGTACTTTGATCATATCAATAACCCTTGTCATCCCCTAACTCCTCCAAAATCACCCACCCCTTCTCCTCCTTCCAACTTCATGTCTTTTTCTTAAATGGCCTGCTGAGTCCAGTTGAGCTAACTGTATACACCTGAGTCTGGGGCTGTCTACTGAGGCTTGATTGACCTATGGGGCCACACCCTTGAAGCAAACCGGTTCTCTCTTCCCCAGCAGTTATTAGCTGTTTATAGATCCTCAGAGGTGTAGGCTTGTTAAGTCCCTACTGCTTTCATTACTCAGCCAGGGTAATTAATGACTTACTATCATGAATACTGCCCCCCCAAGACAGGTTACCCAGGCTAGTCTATAGTTTGTGAGTCTCCTGCTTCAGTCTCCAGAGTGCTTGGATTATTGGACTGCACTTTGGTACCTAACTGTACTTTCTCTCAGCATCTCTTTTCTTTTTCAGTTGTTTGAGACAGAGTTTCACATTGTAGCCCGGGCTGGCCTGGAACTCACTATGTAACTTGCTTTGGCTTTGAACTCATGGCAATTCTCTAACCTCAGCCTCCCAATGCTGGGATTGCAAATGTAAGACACCACATCTGGCACTTAATATTTTAACATTAGAGCATTCTTTATCCATTATTTTTTCTGTTTTTTTTTTTTAAACCGTGTCCTCTGCTCTCCCAACATCTTGCCAGGTCTAAGAGGCACCAGAGTTCCATACAGCCTGAACTGCAATGAAACAGCCAGCTACCCCAGGACGTGGCAGCACCCCAACTTTCTCAGGTCCCCCCAAAGATGGTCAATGCCCCCCAGGTTAGCAGGAAGTAGTCTTGAGAACTCGACACCCATATTTCCTAACCTGCCATGCCCAACTCCTCACTTTTTAAATAATAAATAAACGTGGGAATCTAAGGATTCAGGTATTGTGCTGGCCTGCCCCTGTCACCTGGCAGAATGCAGTCAGGCAGTACCCTGGTCAGCCCAGGGCTCCATGATTGTGTAGTCTGCACACAGGTGAAAAGGACCCCTTTAAAAGAAAGACCTCCAACCACTTCTCTCTTTCCTGTTGCTCCCTCAGGGAAGACAGGACTTTTCCCGTCTCCCTCTTCTCTTCTGGCCTCTCTCTGTCTCTTTACCTCTTTTCCATTTACTCTCCTCCCTTCCCTTTCTACTAAAGCTTCTCACTAAGCTCTTTCTACCTGGCATGTTTGTCCCTCCACCTAGGTCACCCTCACCTGCCATGGAATCCACCAAGGTCCCCTTGCCGTTTCTCATAATGTGCTAGCCCCTAATACTTTAAGATCACCTATACATTGATATTGAGATATACACTGAAAACTTTGATGATGTCATTAGACTTTATGGCTTGCCAATGTCCATATCTAGCCTGGACCACATACTACGCACAGCATCAAGCTTCCTATTCAAAATATTCACCTGGATGCTGAGTCGGAAGCTTACATTTCCCACATTGAAACTGAAATCTTGACCACAACTTGCTCCTTTGGCAGTGCATCGGTGGCATTTCAACAAGGAATTGGAACAACGGTGTGCGCTATGGAATAACATATTTATTTATAGGAATCAGGCTCCATACCATCATGGGAGAAGCTAGGGAAGTGAGGTTTGGGAGAAAAAGGTTGGAGGATAAGAGCAAAGTTATTATCCACCAGGGACCACTAAGCCCCTGGAATCTATGAAGGGCTGTTGCTCCTTTCTCAGAGAGTGAACCTGATTCCATGGCAGGGTTAGCAATGCAAGCAATCTGAAAGAAAAGTAGGGTGTGAAGCAAAAGAAATCAAGGAATGTACAAGGTTAAATTGGAACTAGTGAGGACAAGCCTGTCTGGTCTTACACTGCCTTGAACCTTGGTGATAGAGGTAATCTATAGAAGGGGCTAACTCCCTTCTTATTGAGCTGTACAGAAACCTGGCCCTGGATTCAGGAAAGCTAAGGGAAGAGATCCAGTGGGAGCTGAGGTTCCAGCTATTGCTTACCCCTGCCCCATATTATCACTGGAGACTGTTAATAGGGTGACGTGCCAGGTCAACAAAAATGTGTGTGAGCTGCAGTGGTACCTGACGCCTGACACAAACCTTTAGGGTATAATGGCTGATGCTCCAATTCTGCTTGTCCATCTCATCAGTGTTTATTTTGAGCAGCCCTAACCTAGAACTGTAGCATGCTCTGAGGCTATCAGTCCATACATCAGTGGGCCAATCTAGAGGAAAGCAAATAAGGAAATGGTCCCAGGGAAGGTGACATAGTATACAATTGCCCTGGGAGCATTCCCATCTCAGGAAATGGCAATTCCATCATGCTAGTTGCTCAAGTCAAAAAGCTAGGAGTCGGGGATCTTATTTAGTAGTGTCTGTTTGTGAGTTTTGTTAATTTTAGGTCTGACTGTTCATTTTCTTATTGTTTGGGTGTTAATAGCTGGTTGTGTATTGGGAGTAACAGCCTTTTGTCAGTGAAGGCTTGCTTTTCCCTGCTCATTTTGTCAAACCCTCCAAATGGTAGGTATTCTAAACATTAAACAAAAATCAATTTGTTCATTTAAAAGTACCCTCCCAACTATGGAGGTAACCAAATTAGTCAAATAGAATTTCAATTTTTGCAGGGGACTGATGGTAAACCAGCTAATTTCAACCTTATTTTCTTTCTACAACTTTAAGAAAAAAGAATACTCTGCAAAAATAAGCAAATTCATGTCATTTACAGATGACCATATTGGCTGAGAATTGATTTTGCCCAGGGTTGTATCCTTAAGGCATGGAGCTCCTATTCACCGCTAATAGTGTTATTTAGTTTTGGTCCCCTGGTTTTCTCTAAGATCCTTTTGTTTGATGGGAAATATTAGGTCATAAAACAGAACATGTATAAGAAAATGAAATTTTCTTGTCTCATGAGAAAAATACATTTCTCTAAGAACTGAAAGGTAAAAGAAGATATTTGGCTGCTCCATAAATCATTTTAGTTATTTTCTGTCCCAGAAAAGGAAGATGGACCCAAAGGAAATCACTTTTATAAAACGTGTTCACCCTTTTCTTCATCAGAGGCACACATTTCCTGCTTTGAAGCTTTCCACAGAGGATTCAAAGTTGAGCTCATGACCTGAGTTGGTTTTTCCTGGAAAAGAAAAGAAGAATCACCCAAGACATAGTTTTGGAGTTTCATCTGTGAATCTCATATGAAGGTGCTTTTGAATTTTGAGGTCTTACACAGTCAAGATTAATGCCAACAATTCTGACAGGTTGCCTATAGGACTCACATCTGATTACATTAGATGGACATGGATGTAAGTGGGTGGAGGTCTTCTCCATGATGGAGGAAGGGTCAAATGAAGCTGTCATGTTGGGCTTTGGGTGGGATTTACTCCTCAAACAAGTCATTTTTATATCAGTGAAGATAAATGACTATGTCTCATATATTTTCTCTCTCAAGATTTCTTGAAAAATTTGAAACTGTGTTTCCTGGTGGTTGCTAAAGGCAAAAAGTGTTCATTTATTTTTTAAGTGGTTTTTGCTTGAATGAAATACAAGGAAAGGATGGGGCTGGAGCGATAGCTCAGTGGTTAAGAGCTCTTGCTGCTCTTCCAGAGAACCCAAGTTTGATTCCCAGAATTCATGTCAAACAGCCTGTAACTACAGCTCCAAGAGATCCTATGTCCTCTCCTGGATTTCATGGGCACCCACACCACACATTACGTATGGTACACACACACACACACACACACACACACACACACACACACACACAGAGTGTGTGTGAGAGAAAACCTTAAATCTAAAAAAGAAAAGAGAATGTTGGGGAATTACTTTGTTTTGTCCATAGCTCTAGTACAGAGTGATCCATATGAGAAAAATATATTGGGATTGGTAGCTAGCCAAAGTTTTGAGACATGGGAAAATAGGGAGGCAAGGGCTGGCTTCCGGGAGGACTGGAGAGTATGGAGATTAACACAGGAGAAACAGAATTGCCTGGAGTTACACAGACTTGTATATATTCAAGCCTCAGCAGCTTTGTCAGACTTGTAGAGATTGTCTTGAGGGGTGCTACAGGAATGTTCGTGTGCTTGTATCATCCAGGTATACAAACCCTGCAAGTTCCCTGCAAGTACAAGTTCTTTGTACTTCCTAACATCTGCTCACCATACCTTAAAACTGAAGAGCATGACCAGGAAAAGTCTTGTCATTTCTCATGCCCAAGTAGAAGGCCAGCAACAGGAGACCTACCTCAGGCTTAGCAACTCAGCTCATGCTCAACTGTCATGTCTACTTGCCACATCAACAAAATATTCAGCTTTGCAGACAGAACCATGGGATACCCTTGGGACCTTGTCTGTTGGACAGCCCTCCTGGGCTCTTCATGTTTTAACAGGTCTAAGAGCAATGTGAACACCCTAGGGGGAAAACCTGGAATTCCAAAAACATGCAAAGGCTATAGGCATAGGCCAGCCTGAGTACAGGTATTAGTCAACAGCTGCTTATTCCAGGGGCCTTGCTCCAAAAGCACCTCTTCTCTGCCTTGCTATATGAGGGCTGGAGTCAGAATAGAAGGTCTTTTTAAAGATCCTTCGGTTTTAATTGCTTTGTTTTATGAGTTCACGAGGCAGGAGGTGAGAAACCATAGGGTGTCTGAGGACAGTAAGAAAGAGAAGCCCGGGGTCTGGAGAGATGGCTCAGAGGTTAAGAGCGCTGACTGCTCTTCCAGAGGTCCTGAGTTCAATTCCCAGCAACCACATGGTGGCTCACAACCATGTGGTTATGAGATCTGGTGCCTTCTTGTGGTGTGCAGATATACATGGAAGCAGAATGTTGTATACATAATAAATAAAATCTAAAAAAAAAATCAGGTGTTCGTAGGTGTGTGGGTTAATATCAGGGTTTAAAAAAAGAGAGAGAATCCCATGGAGAGATGCAAAACAGATCCTGTGGAGGCAGGAAGACACATTTCACCTACCTCAGTACTTTCTCATTAAACAGAGGAAAAACCACTGCTCAGGAAAAGACCATGTGTCATGTGGAATGTGGGATGTGGGATGGTGGGACAAAATGAGTCAGCTGGTCAGACCGGCAGTCTATGGTAAAATGGCACCCCTGGGGAAACACCAAGCAAATAGGAAATCAAGTCATTAAATCTTCTTCCCCAAGCTTGAAGACAAGATGTCATTTTTGCAGCCATTTCGTTGTGTAGTTTCTCTGATCGTGTGGTACTCCAGGGACCTGTGGAAGATTAACAAATGAAGAGGTCAAATGTTAAGTTAGTCCATCCAAATAGGCAATTCAGGATCAGCATAGGTCCCCATTGCTGCTTTCAGTCTGCCCAGTGTCCCGATAACCAGGTGAGTTTCCTTTGGAAATTCAGAGCCTTAACATCAGGGCTGGTGAAAAATGTACTGGAATTCATTTAGAAAGAACAGTGTTTGTGGGGGAATCTCTTCAGTGAGCATATCCGTTCCTGCCTATTTGCATTCTTATCTCATTCATGTTTATGGGTCGTCCTGATCATGGAGCCTGACGTCAGTTAAGGGGAGATTTGAATTATTTTTCATTAATCAGAATGTTCTCCTGAGTCACAGCAGATGATTTACTGTCAGTAAGGACTTTAAACTCACAATAGTAGGTCCTCCATAAATAGAAGCTGTGTGTCTCATAAGATAGGCACTGCCTCCTAGGGCACACAGAAACAAACACTTGCAGAACGACTAATCAAAATCGTTCTGCTGGATGCTGCTTGGCATCATCTGGTGAGCCGAGGCTATTCACTGAAGTTACCCCGGGGAGATTTTAAAAACAGCAGCATGTGCTCTCCAGAAATTCTGCTTCATAAACCTGTGCTGGTGACTGGAAAATGGTCACTTTCAAAATCTTCCCAGGGGATTCTATCGAATATGCTAATACAATTGAAAAAGCAACCTTAGGTATGTCTGATCTTGGAAGTTGAGCAGGCTTAGCCCTGGTTTAGTCTTGAATGGGAGAAACAACCTTAATAGTTTACTTGCTTACCCTAGTTCTATTTGACTTTTCTAAACCAAGCTAGTCCAGTTTCTCTGTATTACAGATAAGAGCACATTTATTTATTCAGTGGTGTGTGTGTGTGTGTGTGTGTGTGTGTGTGTGTGTGTGTTTGTTGGGTCTGCATGTGCCACTGTTTGTGTAGAGGTCAGAGGTTCTCTCTTAACAATATGTGGGTCCCAGGGATTCAACTCAGGTTATCATGTGGCAAGTGCCTATACCTGCCGAGCTATCTCACTAGTTTAAATTATTTTCTTAGGTGCCCAAACCAGATCTAATGGCAGGGTGTGGCAGTAAAATTTGTAATTCCAGCACTTGGGAAAATCGAGGCCAGATCAAGAGTTCAAGGCTATCTACTAGGCCACATAGTAAGACCTCATTTTAAAAAAAGGAAAAAAAAAAGGATGGAGATGGTTCAGTGGATAAGAGTGTTTGCTATTCAGGCATGAGGACCTGGGTTTGAATCTCCAGAACACATAGAGAATCAAGACACGATAACCTGTGACTCCAGTGCTCCTAAAGGGTGATGGGAGGCAGAGAAAGAATTCCCAGAAGCTTGAGGGCCACTAGCCTGGCATATGTAACAGAAAAACAACAGACACCCTGTCTCAAGCAAGGTGGACAGCAGACACTGACACCTAAGGGCTGTTCTCTGACCTCCACATAAATGCTGTGGTATACATAAGTCCACATATTCTCTCTCTCTCCCAATATCCCTTCCCCCATCTTAGAACTCATTCTCTCTCTCTCCTTCCTCTCCCCCTCCCTCTCTCCCTCTCCCTCCCTCCCCCCCTCCCTCTCTCCCTCCCCCTCCCTCCCTCCCTCCCCCTTCTCTCTAAGAAATCATTTCTTCTTGAGTACTTCATTCAGATCACATCCTCTTTTGGCTGCCTCTCAGGCAGCAGTTTGGTCCCCCCATCTCAAGAATGTTACAACTCATTGTACTGAGTGAACAGGAGTCCCAAACCAGGCCTTTTGAAACAGTAAGACAACAAAGAGCAAAACCCCCAGACCAGCCTCTCCTTTCACTTAGCAAGGCACTGGGAGTTAAAGGATCTAAACTGTACCTTTCAACTGTAGACACCCAAGAGCGTGGATGCACTGCAAACCTAGTATATCAGAGATGAAGCACAACAGATGCTACACTCCAATTTGAGGGTCTGATCGCTGGTCTCTTCCAGCAGGAATGGCCTTGCACCAGCATTCTTAAAGGAAGGTGTTTTGGCCTCCACTTAATTTCCCAAAGAGTTATAAAATCTACCAAAATGGATACAATGGGTCAGCATAAATTAGTTTACTCACAAGAGAGTATGTTGAGTAATGGCTTTTGACTGTTGAGAAACTTCACATTATTTCAAGGTAGCAGAATCCAAGGCACTCAAATAGGACAGTTCAGCAGTGGCCTAGTGCTAGTGGGAGTAGCGCGCGCGCATGCGCGCCCGCACAGTTCTTTTCTTCAGGGTATATGGCAAGCCGCCAAGACCCCTGATAAACAAAAGTTATTTGCTATATTACAGTGCATAGAACAGAGGAAAAGATGCTTTCATGGAGGGCTATTGAAAGGCATTCATTGAGCAGAAAGTCCTATGGCTAAGCAAATGCGCAGCAGCTGGGGTCCGGGGCCTTCAGGCACTTGACTTCTGCTTTTTGGCAGCATAGGCCTCAGTGGAAAATGCTTCCTCCTCCAATTTTTCTGCCTCCTCTTCCTCCTCCTCGTAGTAGTAGTCAACATCGTAGTACCCATGCTCTTCCTCTTCTTCATCCTCCTCATAGTAGTCAACTCCGTAGTAGACATCCTCATCCTCTTCCTCCTCATAGTAGTAGTAGTCGTCATCCTCTTCATAGTAGTCGCCCTCATCGTAGTAGTAGCCTTCATTGTAGTACTCCTCCTCCTCTTCATCCCCTTCATAGTAGTAGTAGTCATCCTCCTCCTCCTCACCTTGCACGTAGTAGTAATCCTCCTCCTCACCGTCCACGTAGTAGTTACCATGGGCCTCCTCCTCATCGACCTCCTCCTCTTTGTTCTCCTCGTAGAAGCGGCCCTTGTCCTCGTCCTTGTTCTCATTCTCCTCTTCCCGGGGGTAGAGGTCTGGGTATTTCTTCATGCACTCCTGCATGGCCTGGAACTGGTGTATACAGTCGGATCCCTTGAGTTCGTCTGTGCTGTAGTGGAAGCAGGAGAAGGCAGACTTGAACTGCTCTCCACAGGGGCCGCTGGCCATTCCCCCAAGGCTCGGGCAATTCCAATTAATTTCTCCGTTTGGCAGTACCAAGCCGTATTCCGCATAGGGATCATTGGGGTCGTCAACCACCAGCTCTGCAGTGCTGGGACTTTCGTGGTCCTCTCTGGTCACAAATATGACTTGATCCTTCCCTTCCTGCCGGCAGTAGGCCATGGTAGCTCTGCGTGCTGCTGCTCAGTGCTGGTGCTCACAACTAGCAGTTTGTAGCTCGCAGCTTGAAATGCTGGAGGGAGTGCCTGTAGCTGATACACCTTCAAGCTGTGACTTCCCTCTCCCCTCCTCTGGCCTGGAGGGCGGTTCTGAGGCCCGCCACATGGCCCGCCCCCTCTAGTCCGGCCTGCTGTGGCCCTCAGTATTTTTCAAAGGAAACCTCCTGAGGTTTGGATGAGTACCCCTTAATGGTCCATATGTAAAAGTTGGGTCCCCAGGGTGGTGCTATTTATTGGGCAATCTCTGTGAATCTTTAAGTATTGCTGTAGAAACGAGTGGGAGTTTCTTAGGGAATGCCTTTGAAGGGAAATAATGAGTCTAAAATCTCTCAGGCCCTTTGCATAGTAGATCATGGTGTGACCACCCTTTCTCTGGTTATGTGCTGCTTGAGCCACTGTCATCCACTGGAGCTGCCCATTCTTAGACTTGAATCTCCAGAACCACGAGCCAAAATAGAACTCTCTTTACTTCCTAAGTACCCTGGATGAGGCATTTTGTTGCAAAGCTGTCTCATACATTATTTGTCTTTACCTCTGCATCGGCTAATTGCAAACGTGGCTGAGTATAAGAATCATTTGATGGCTTGTTAAAATTAATATTCCTAGGTTCCGTACCTGAACATTATTACTGGGTAGGTCCGTGGAGGGCTTGGAATCTGTAATTTTAAAGTAGTCCTCTGATCAACATGATCTGGACAATTTCCTAACTCGGAAATAAAGTGATTATTGATATGCCATAAGTTAGAGGAAATATGAGTTCTTTAATGACAGGACAAAGGAAAATTGATATTTCCTTTAAATTAGTTTTCTTCTGAGGGGCAGACAACAATTTAAAAAATGATGCCAACCCGGTTTTATCAAAATGTAGGCCTGAATTGCCATCCTGTATTTCTTATTTTGTTTGATTATTGTTGTTTTAAAATGAAACAGGTGGTCCTTAATGGCCCTCCCTAAGAAACCATGGGCGTGCCTTTTAATTTTGAATTTTGCAAGTAGAATTCAGTGATAGCTTCCAGAATGGAAAATGAATTGGCTACCACTGTGACCCATAACAGTGACATGCAGCCTAACTCATAGTCATTGTGCTGTCTAGCCCAAATCTGGAGTTTCCAGGGGGAAGGGTGACCCAGCTCTCTGATCACTTCTCCCCTGACTGAGTCCGTGACTCACACAGGCATGCTTTTAAACTCCACCCTCTATGGCATCTTTGCTCAGGGATGGTGTTGGAAAGCCTTGGAAGGAGTCCCCAAACCTCAGGCCTGATATCCTGGTTTTTCATCTGCTTGCTGTACAACTGAGACAAAGTCATTGTGAGTCTCACGTCCACAGCTGTACAGAAGGCATGATGAAATTCACCCTACCTAGCTAAGAAGATATTATTATCAAGAGAGGACCTTGAGTTGGTCCATGGTCAGAGGGGTGAGTGGTCACTGAAGTGGTTGCATCCTGAAACACCACCGAGGGTGGCTGTGGTTTTCTTCCACAGTAGTGAGAGTGGAAGTGCCTAGGCAGCCCTCCTGGTTAGAAAGCCAGAGGCTCTTTATTATTTAATATCTATGCTGTGAACAAAACTAAAGAAACCAGTTATTTGACAGATGTGCCCAGCACTGAAGAGACAACCTTGACAGCCTTTCTTTCTTTCTTTCTTTCTTTCTTTCTTTCTTTCTTTCTTTCTCTCTCTCTCTCTCTCTCTTTCTTTTCTCTTCTCTCCCGCTTTTTCCCTTCCCTCCCTTCCTTTTCTTTCTTTCCTTTTTTTTTGGGGGGGGTTAGAGACAGGGTTTTTCTGTGGCTTTGGAGGCTGTCCTGGAACTAGCTCTTGTAGACCAGGCTGGTCTCAAACTCACAGATATACACCCGCCTCTGCCTCTTTCTTTCCTTTTTTTTTTTTTTAACTTGTAATCAGAATTTAGGACACAGAGACAGGAGGATTAGGAATTCAGGCCAGCTTTGTTTATGTAAGTGAGTTCAGGACTATCCTGGGGTATGTGAGACTCTGTATCAAACAAGCTCAAAGGGGCTAGTGAGATGGCTCAGTGGGCAAGGACACTTGCTGCGGAAGCCCGATATCTGATACCCCTCTCTTTTGTGCTCTGTCTTCTTCTCTTGAGACAAGGGCTTTTGCAAAACCCGGAGCTCACTGTTCTTTGGCTAAGCTGGTGGCCCACAAAATGCAGAGATCCTCCTGTCCCAAGCATCAGCACTAGGGTTACAGGTACACAGGATCACATCTGACGTTTTTTTGGGGGGTGTCAGTAATCTGAACTCTTTCCTATTCTCATCCTTGTACAGCAAGTGTTCTTCCCCACTGAGCCATCTTCTCAGCCCAGTTTCAGTGGTTTTAGGAACAATTATGGGTAGTGTCTTCATAAAGTATTAATTTTGAGTTAGCATAAAAAGTAATGGGTTTCACTGTGGGATTTTCAGACATACCTTTTGTTAATCTTTACAACCACTTCAACATATTTTATTTATTGTTTGACAATTTCATACATGTATTATCTTAATTTTTCGACAAAAGCATTAATTTGAAATGAATGTTTCCTTTTCATCAAACAGTGATAGGAAAACTGGATGCCCATGTATAGAAGAATAAGGTTAGACATTTGTCTCTTACTCTGCACAAAAAAGGAATTCAAGGGGCTGGAGAGATGGTTCAGTGGTTAAGAGCACTGGCTACTCTTCCAGCAATCAGTTCCCAGCATCACATGGCACCCACATGTCACTCCAGTTCCAGGGGATCAGACACCCATGGCAAAGCACCAAAACATATTTATAAAATAAAGTTAAATAAAAAAATTTAAAAAGTCATTGTGTTCCACAGCTAAACAGTTAGCTGAACTCTTGGAATCCAGTTGCAGAGAGGGAGGAGTGATGAGCAAAGGGGTCAAGACCAGACTGGAGAAACCCACAGAAACAGCTGACCTGAACATGGGGTTGCTCATGGACCCCAGACTGATAGGTGGGAAACCAGCATAGGACTGTTCCAGCCCCTCTGAAAGAGGAAGTCGGTGAGGAGGCCTGAGCAATATATGGGGCCTCTGGTAGTGGATCAGTGAGGTCCCAGTTTGATGAGAGACTGTATCAAAAAAAAATAAGGTGGTAGCTTTGTTCATGTGTTTCTTCATGTAACACCAATATTATTCTTTTCCCAACACAACTAACCAACAACCTGAGGGCAAGTATGCATACACAAGTGTATGTAGAGGCTATAGATTGACATTTGCTCACACTTTTTCAACCCACCTCCACTTTCTGAGACAGGGTTTCTCTGTTTAGTTCCGACTGTCCTGGCACTCACTCTGTAGACCAGGCTGGTCTCAAACTCACAGAGATCTGCCTGCCTTTGCCTCCTGACTGCTGGGATTAAAGGCGTGTGTCACTGTGCTTGACTAGTTCTTCGTGTTTTAAATGTTAGCTGCCTCTCTGAAGTGTAGCTGGCTAAGATTTGTTACCATTTTGTAGGCTGTCTATTGGCTCTGGCAATAGTTTCCTTTGCTGTGCAGAACTCCTTTAAGTGTATATAATCCCATTTGTCAACTCTTGAAGTTATTTCCTGTGCTATGGGGGCCTTTCTGGGAGAGTTCTTGATGTGTTTTCTGTATGGTTCCCTCTAGCAGTTTCAGTTTTTACATTAAGATTTTTGTATAATAATTTTAAAATGGCAATTTAAAAAAGGATTTGGAGAGCTCACTATGGGTAAAACTTGCAAGGAGGAGACTGGAGAAGGCAATTCTCTACCTCAAGATTGAAGTCTGGAGATCTGCAGAAAGTGTTAATACATCTGCAGCCCCATGCTGATCTGTGTGGGTCACGAAGCCTGGGAAGTTCTTGGGCACGACACAGGCCTGGGAAAACTTCATCTTGCCCATAGCCAGAATGGGCGAGCATTGTAATATCCAAGTATTTGGTAGAGTATGTAGAAGAGTGTTCCCTCAACAGTGACTGAAGGCCGTTCTTATCTGAACTAGCCTCACAAAGCTGAAAAAGAAGCCTTGAAGAAATCAAACTGTTTCCACACAACTTCATCCTAGAGAAGATTTAGTTACAAAATGCTGGAGAAGCCCTTTTCATTTAAGCAGAGCGATCCGGCACGGAACAATGGCTCTAGTGTCTGGCATGCAATCCCTCACTATTGTGATTGTGTGAGACTATCTCTGTTCTTAGGAAAGATGCTGAAATGTCTAAGTCTCAAGGACTGTGGTCTGTGGGATTTGCAGAAGGGGAGGGGTAGAGAATAAGTGAAGGGGGAACAATGTTAATTCAGGTTTCTTTGTACTGTTTTTATTTTTGCAACTCTTAGATTGAAATTATTAATATTCCAAGTTAATATAAAAATGTTTACTGCTTCTCATATTTCAGAAACACATATAATTTATTCTATTTAGATTGGGTTATGGTGGTGCTCAATCTAGCTACAGGAAGAGTATATACCTTTTAATTACCAACTATTACACAGAATAGCAAATAGCATCTGGGAGGGTGCTTGCAAAGGCAAACAACTGCAAAAAGGACAGAAATTTAACAAATAGGTCTTTGTCATCATGATGGACATTTGGAAATCCTTTCGTTAGCAGTGATTCCTATATTTTGCTTAAGTGAGAAATTTTCAAATATACTTTCTTCTGCTCTGTTGCTCCTATTTTTTCATTTTTTAAAAGTGTGTGTTTCTGCATTTGCATTGTGAGCTGCCCAAGCACCTGTAACTTCAGCTCCAGGGAATATGATGGCCTCTTCTAGCTCTGCAGGCACCTGCACTCGGGTGTTCTGCCACAAGTGCTCTTAAGCATCAAGCCATTTCTTCAGTCCCTATTTTTTTTTATATTTTTATTCTGAGATAGGATAGTCTCACTATGTAGCTCTGGCTGACTGTGAATTCACAATCCTCCTGCCTTTGCCTCTAGAGTGCTGAAATTATAGGCTTTTGCCAGTCTACCTGGTTGATGATCCTGCTGATTGAACTAATAGAGTCTGGAGACTTTCTAAGTGTTTGGAAAAATCTGACTTACGGTGGGAAGCAGAAGTTGATGATCCTAGTACAAGACAATAAGTGCCAGGAGGACT